ATCATATGAGGAATAGTCTTGTTAGAAGAAATGGTTTAGCATACACTATTTACTCTAAACCGTTAACTTTTAATATATGAGCCAAACCACAGCAAACGTCGATCAGGAAGCCGGCATCCCATGTGGAGGAATAAAGAGGCATAACCGCTTTCGGAAAAAAATTGTTCTTTCCACGCTGCTGCAGCTGGTGCCTCATATCAAAGGTGTTGGAAAGCTGCCAACACCGGGTGGCGATTTCTCTGGCTTTCGATGTATAAACTGCTAAACGGGGAACCACTTAAACTCAAATAAGAATGGTACTATTCTGTCAGAAATGATCACTTTTCGCTTTAGACGACCTCAACAAACCATTGAGGTGCTTAGTAAACGAAAACTGACATGGTTCCAGCATTTAGTAGAAGATAACGCTGCCTCGCTGGCCGAGAAGCTGCTCGGCGATAAAGCATCGGTTGCATAATATAAAGTGCCTAAATAATCTGAACGCACATCTGCTGCTGATTAGAAATTTTTTCTCAGTGGTTACGCTGACCACCTCATGTTATCGAAAAGCAACACAATCAACCGGGCAGATATCACGAAATTAACGACCGAGCTGATGTTTTAATATGCAACTAAAATCGATTATGACAAATCAGAAAAAGTACCCCCTCCAACATTCCATTTGAATTTGTAATTTGGCTGATCTTCTTACAGAGATTCCTTTTGAAAGCATGAGTAAATCACCTCTGCCATTGCCGATCTCAAGAACATATGAGAAGGAGAAAGTTCTGGGACCATCGCGAGGTCTTCCGTGAAATTCATCCACCTGCTCTCATGGTATTGGGGTTCTCGACCATTATACCGGCTTGGTCGTCGCCGGCATTACCAACGGCTGCCAGGCTGTCGAGGAACAGGGACGTAGAAGCACTTCCCCTGAAATGCTTAAGGCTTTAGGCGTGCAAGTGACGCTGTGCCCAACATGTGTCTGTAAAACTGCAATAGCCATGGGGAAGACACCGGTGGACTAGAGAATTGGGGGTTGGTTATGGCATACCTGATTAAGACAAAAGGCAGTAGGAAGTGCTTGAATTTTCAGTGCGTTATTTTACTGATCCCTCCGGGAAAAGTTTAAGCAAACTGGTGGGAAAGGAGGTACCGCCTAATAACTGACTCTAAAATACACAAAGAATAATGTGACTTCAGGACAGGCTGAAGTATCTCTGAACAGATCTTTGTTTTAAACCATACTATTGAAGAATCGTGGGAGTACACGAATCCGGCTTATATGTTCGTTGTGCATCTGAAGAGGATGTATGAGGGAAGCCCGCACGATAAGCTATGGACATACTTGCAAACATATGCGATCGATGACCTGTTGCTACGGACTACTCAATCATTACATGTTGATAGCAAGTGTCGCGTCAGAGTAAATGGCGTTAAGTCGAAACCCTTCAACGTTGGCACTGGTCCCCGCCAAGGCTGCGCCCTGTTCCCTCTCTTGTTTGTGTTGTACATGAATAGGATACTCAGGAGCTGCCAAGGCGATGAGGGTATCGGTGTAGGAGAAATGAAGACGAAAAGGTTGCTGTTTGCAGACGACCTTATTTTATCGGTATCATTCGAATCTGATCGAAAGGGAATCTGAAAGGGTTCACAATCGAATGCGACATGGCCGGAATGCAAATGAACGTATCAGAGGCGAAATGCCTAAAACTCTCTCGTTCTCTTGCCCGTTTCTCTCTTCACGTTAATTGAGCGGCAGTGGAGCAGTTGGAGAAGTTCAAGTACGTCAAAGTCGTGTTTGCTAGTGATGGAAAATTGCAGGAAGAGACCGACCGACGAATTGGAGTAGCCAGTGGCATTCTGCGTGAATTAACTCGAAGCATTGTGACTAAAACAGAGCTAAATCTGCAAATTAAGCTTCATGTCTTCAAATAGATGCTCATCGCGATGTTCACCTACGGTTATGAGTGGTGGGTCACGACTGAAGAACTTCGATCCGAGCTACAAGCGTCTTAAATTGATTTTCTGGGACGAATCGCTGGTTTAACGCGTCTCCTAACATGGTCGTGATTTCAAATATCCAAGACAGCCTTAGTGTACAGCCGTTGCTTACGCTTATTGCAAAGTTATATTTGCCATGGTTTTGGTCACGATTTGGGAATGGTTCCAGAAAAGAAGGCGAAACAGATTCCTCGACAACTACTGGTACCTGCCAAATCGACCGACTGACCGAAGACCCCGCGAATGAACAAAAATAAAATAACCCGAGAATGGTTTATCGATTGACTCTGCTCTAGACTCGGTCTATCTCCTGTCGAAACCCAAAGCTGACCGGATCACGAATGTTGGAGGTACTACCTGACGCGTCTGTCTCCACGACTCTAAAGGATAAGCGGTCATGGAAAGTGACTTACTTACATCAAAGTCTTTCATCCATCAATCAATAGTGTATTTATTTCTGTAACTGACCGTTTCGGGGTTGGAAACGATGTTTAAGGCTAAGGTTAATTACTTCGCTGTACTTTGCCCCCCCCCAGCCCGCTTCTGTACTGTGGTCATTGTTCGAACTGCTGATTGGCGTGTACGTCTATAGTTGAGTTTTAACAGGGCGAAGTACCATAACAACATAACGTTTCTAAACCAAAATTTGCTTTGAAACAAACCATGCGTGTTGTCTCGCCTTGAATCGTATGAGAAGCTGCTAATAGCCGACGAAAAACTACAACCGCTCGTTTCAGCAAGCGAAGAAATTCGTCAACTAGGCGAAATTTAGCAAATTCGCTTCCTCAACATCTTCTGAAGGAGATTAATCGCAGCATGAGAATCATTACTTTTCAAGAAACGACTCACTAATGACCAAAATTTCCATCAAATAACGGAACTCAGCTCATCGCTGCGGGCTTTTCGTCCATGTTTAAGCTATTTATTAGCTCAGCTTCCCATTTTCAAGGAAACGATAAATATTTTCATTCAGTTCAACGGTGGCATCGATTTGCCTTTGACTGTGAATCGAACAAAGCACTTCCAGTCGACAGACAATTTAAATGATGAAACCAGCAAAAGGTGGCGGGAACAACTTTAACACGTAAAACAACTTTTCGCCGAGGATAACGTAATTCCAACAGAGTCCTTTCCAATAACAGTTACTTTACCTTTCAAAAATTTTACGTTTCTGTGTGCATGAAATGGAACTGAATCGATCTTATGCTTCTATAGACCAAAATGGATCCTTGAATCAAGTCATCTCCCCCTGGTATTCAAATACAGTTCACGAATGCAAAACTGCATTTGTTGCTTTTATTTGTAGTAGCTCTTTAAACGCATTTTATTCGATCAGTCTGACTATGGAACAGAATATTCTTCGTGAATGTTTTAAACACACTGTAAGACGTAGTGCAGTGACGTAGTTTTAGTCCATGACGTGCAAGTACTACCATTTCATGAAGCAGTGGCCTACTCAAATAACCCAGTGAACCGTTAGTAGCAGAAAATCCGTACCGTTCAGTCACGTCAGTCTTGAAAAACGCCTATTATTGCCATCCTTATTTATAACTCTGCACGGCAGTAATAATTTAAACTAGTTACTATGAATTGTTTGGTCTTGCATCCTATAGCTTCAGATAATTAAGTACGTTATGATCTTAATTTATAAGTTACAGAGTTAATATATGAAATATCTGCCTCAATTAAACTTCACTCTGGGACAAATGTTCCAAAATAATGTTTTCGGCCTTCTTCATTCTACCAGTATCGTCAGATGCATTATATCCAAATTCTAGAATATTAGGTTCCGGAGGGGAAAAAGTAAAGTAGACCCCCGTCATTTTTCATCAAGACACCGCGTCTTGGTTGAATATCAACTCGCTGCGGCACACAAAATGCTCCTTGAGATCTTCAAGGTATTAGGCGAAAAAGGCATGTGCTGGCTTAGGCGTGTGTGTCAAATTACGATGACTGCGGGAAAGACACCAGCGGACTGGAGAACGGGTGTTATTGTACCCGTATTCAAGAAGGGA